AATGACAGAATAAAGCCATTATTGAACAGGTTACTTAAAACATAGCAAGGTTGGCACTGTTCCTGAATGTGACCAGATGGAAACGGATATACTCTTCTGCCTGTGCACTTGGCAAGGAGGAGAGTATGGAGAGAGTGTCTTGTGGCTGGGTGTGAAGAAAGGTAATGCAGTATCAGTAGTAATCTTGGATGTTTCAGCAGAGTGCTATCAAAAATGCTCTGGCACCGTCACAGTTAAGCAATCACTTCTTCACTTAAAGTTTCTCTTTGGAGGTCCAAAACCATAACTCATGAAAGACACCACGCCAAACATGCCTTTTCCATCCTGGCAGGGCTCACAGGCTCCCCGCACCAGCAAGATGCAGTTTTCCTTTCCCATCAGCACTGTTTCTCACCACTGCTGAGGGGGTTGCAGCTGCAGGAAAAACTGTGTTTTCTGTTTTACTTTGAAAGAGGAAAATACTTGGAGGAGCGGGCAGCTCCACGAGACCGGCTGTACCAACCAGTAACATTAATTCTCACCACTTTAAATAGTTCTGAACTACAGTTATTCTAGTTTCTTCTGGGAATGCTCCTGTTAACAAACAAACAAAAGCATAAATAAAAATATTCACAGTATTTGTTTGGGTCTTTCAGTGCCAAGTACCCAGCCAGGAAAATAAATAAAGTGGAAGACAATGTTGGCAACCAGCCACACCTGGAGTAACTACAGGAGATGGTCATGGGTACAAGGAGGGATAACGCTGCCTGAAATAGGGAGAGGAAGCTGCTGATGGGTGATGAGGATTAGGAAACACAGCAGTGCCCTGGAGAAGCTTAGGAACTCAAGGCTGGATGGACTCCCAACAGATAGTGGCCAGTCACTAGGGAAGGATGAGAAAGAAGCTCTTAGGCTGAGATTTACAGCAGGAAAAACCCAAATGGATGTGAAGTACTCAAATTAATACTTTAAATTATCCAGCACTTTCTCCACCTAGTTCCACTGCAGCATCACTCACAACATAACCCAGAGAGGATGACTTTTTCTGTTGATGTTTTGCATTAATTATGCATTCTTCACGGGTGTTTTTAAGACTCAGGCAGGGACTAATCTGCCCTGTGCTTTTTGTTAAGCAATAAAGACAGACAACAGCTGGGTTTAATTGCACTAAACATTCCCTCTACATCTCTTCTCTACCCATCCCAAACGAAACAAGGTGAGATGTTATAACACCTCTTTCCTCACAGAGCCCAGTTTCTCCAGACTCTTTGGAAAGGGTTGCCATGACTAAGCAAGCAGCATGAGCAAACCAGCAGCTACTGGATTTTTATCTCAACCAGAGCACATCTAAACTTGAGAATCATGTTCATTCTGCAAGTTGAATCCTGCAGAGAGTCAGCAGAAGAGATTGCATTGTGGCACACAGAGCCGTTCACTTCATGTGCAGGATGGGGGCCTGACTTTAGAGATTTATGTTGTAAAGGTCCTGAATTTGGCCTCATATGGCAGTCAAGATAACCACAACTAAGTTTATCAGCCCTTTTTCTGAGAGTTGCGAACACAAGTAATTATTTAGAAAAATTAAAAGGAACAAGAAGAAAACCCCAAATGACACAGCTTTTGAAGAAATTGGAGCAGTTGCTGCAGCTAACTGTACCTTTAAGGGGTTAATGAAGAAGTCTCCCTAACACCCAGCTTCCAAGGTACAGCCCCTCCATGGCATTTCCCACACGCTTAGGATAATCAAAAGATACTGAAAACCAATTCTACTTTATTCTGGTATAATTGCAGCAGAGCCACTAGAGGAATTGCAACCATTATGCAAGATGAGGCACCATCACAGTGGGGCCTGCTGTTTCCAACAGATTCTACCCACTCGTTTTTATAGATTACAGCTACCTTTCATTTTAGTAATTAGACACCATTTCCAAGGAGATCCATAAGCAATTTCCTGCCCATCTTGAGCCATAATGCCACAAGATTGCACTAACAAGTGAACATAGTTTAAAAGTAGTCAACAAAGAGCAGTCTGCACACTAAAAAGTTCAGTTAAGCAAGAGACGGAGACCAACATTTCATTTAACAACAGATCAATGTTGATGCCCTCTAGATCTACTTGACCACTACAGAGCACACAGGCATCCACTAGCAAACCCAATAGCGATTCCTTCCAAACCCCGAAATACTGCAGAAGTCTGTTAACAACCAGATCGGTCTGCTGAAATCTTCAGTCAAAGCAAAAATGATGTAGCAGACCTGAGGGGACCATGGGCTGGAGGGAGGATCCTACCCTAAGAAAACCAGTGTGCCCTTGAGTAGAGGGTTGCTCCCAGATGGAAGGTGCTCTGGCAGGATCTCAGCTGGTGAGAGCATAAACACATATATAACTTCTATCAAGTCTGCATTAGTTTCAAGATCTTCATCAAAAAGGAGGGGAAAAAAAAAAAACCCACAACTTTTTTTAACTTGCGTGTTTTGCTTTCAAGGAAGTCGCTCAACTAAATATTATTGAAACAGCAGATGGCAAAATGCAAACTTTATGAAAGGGAAGTCTGCCTTGAGCGGCAGGTTACTGTTTGCATGGGAGAACTGTGCAAGGGAAGGAGGGAGGGAGGGTAGAGTCAGAAGTTAAGATGCGTATTTCTAGATGAACAGCTTGGTTAGAAAATGATGACCATGTCTATAAATGTAATCTTTTGTGTATCTCAACGCCAGCACTCCAGAGCTGTGAAGTGGTGTGAAAACTAAAATACCTAGAGGGACTAATAAGTCCCTATGGGGACCCCAGTTCCTTAAATGGCTGTGAAGGAGAATTGCAGAGAACTGCAATAGGACTGAATCAATGCCATTTTCCCTGGAAAAAGTATCGCTCCCTTTGATTACATTATTCTGAAAAGACTGGCTGCTTTCCCCCTCCCTCCCCCAGCTCAAAAGTCAACTGCAAGCTACTAGAAATATGTCCAAAAAGATTATGGTGCAGCTGAAAGCCAGAAGCATATGAGACTGTATATTTACTGGTGCTATGTCAGATAACATCTGAGAGGAAAGGAAAAAGGGATTCAGCCCTGCAGTCTTTATTAGCACATTTGGGCTGTTTAAAGGAGCTATCCAATTGTGTCATTGCTGCCAGGCCTTTAAAACTGTATATATCCATGATAAAGGAATCTACTTGATCTTGATCACAAGCCTTCAAGCCCCACCAGACTCTCCCCTGACATTCAAACTTATTGTCTTTAAACAGGAATTAGAAAAAAAAGAAATGAATAGGGATGCACCATTACCCATAGCATTATATTGCTCAGGAACAGATGTTAATCAATTTTACGGAATGTTTTAAGGAAAATGCAAGCACATTTGAACAGAACTGAGTGCATAGAGATTTCAGCCCAGCAAATACATGAGATAAGCCTTTATCTTGACTGGGAGAGTTATGTCTATTTTGATTAAAACCAGAGGTCTGCACGTTCAAGCAATTTTACTCCATTGAAATTATATTATTTCCAGGCTGATATTACATATGGTCCTATGACAAAAGGGAATGGAAATAGCCTTGCTCTTGATGGAAGTATTCTCATTTTGCATGTGTTCATGCACACAGCTCATGAAGTACACATGTAGGATGTATGTACCATCCTCACCCATTACTGAATAGGCAGGAACAACTGTACTCTCTATTCCAGCTGTTCTAGAGGAACAATATATCTGGAGAAAGGACTGACCTTACACTCTAAGTAATTTTTGCTACACAATCTCTCATGCAGTGTTAAGAGAACTTTAAAATCCCACACCATACACAAGTACAAGGAAAAAGGTGCCACATCTTCTCAATTTATATAAAAGTAGCAGCTATGCTATCGTGCCGGGAGTAATTTTGGTCATTAAACTTCTTGATCCTTGAATGTCATCAGGAGTTACTTAGATGACCGTCCACTTGCACTTACAAAGTACTGCATTTAACTCTCCGTAAAATATGGATTTTATTGCAGCAGTGACAAGACTTCTTTCCACAGCCAGTGACCTCTACTGCTATTGCTTATCTCTTGACACAACCTTTTGCATAAGAATACATATATATAGTATACATACTGTGGATTGCTTTCCCTGTGTGTGCGTGTAGATGTTATATACATGTGAATATATAAATAGCTCTATCTGACGTACAAAGTATGTTACCAGCTTTCTTTCTGCAATTACCCAACTTCCCTCCTGCAAAAATGCCTGTACAACTAACCCCTTTCTTCAATCACATCCATCACACTCAAACCCGTTCTTTTATCAAATAAAATATTTCACATTTGTCAATTCCTGTAACGTCCCCATATCTGCCCCTTCTTTTTGCTGAGGTAGCGCCTCATTTCAAGCGTGCTCTACATTCAGCTCTGCACTTCACCTCAGATTTTGCTCATGATCCAAAGGGTTTTGCCCTGTATCCATTTCACAGCAACTAGGCAGTGTCAAGAAACCAAGACACATTCTTTTTAAATACGGTTTTCTAGTTATTCATCACACTTCTCCTTTTGTTGCTGTTGATATTATGATGATGATTATTATTCCCCTCTAAACACACACGACCCTCCTCCCGCTCTCATCACCTCCCCTCGACTGAAGTGTCTTGCTGGCGGTAACAATTCCTGGGAAAACGCCGCATCCCTTTGCCTGACTTAAAACGACAGCAAACGCGGTCCTCACGCAAACCCGGAGCCACCGGGCAGCGCCACGGACACGCGGGGATGGACACCCCGGCGCGGCGATGGGGTGCAGAGCCCCCTGCAAGAGAGCTGCCAACTTTGCAAAATAAGTGCTCTGCCTCCCCCCTCACCCCCCACCCCCACCCCCCCCCCGCCCCTTATTTACCATTCTAAATAAGCACGGGAAAAAAAAAAAAAAAAAAAAAAAAAAAAAACCAAACAAAACAAAACAAAAAAAACCAACCAAACAAAAAACATTAAAAGGGAAGAAGGCAGCTGCCAGGTGACGGTCAAAACTTGCTCCGAAAGAAGTGCAAAGCCGCAGCTCCTTACCAGCAAGCGGGGACGATGAGAGCCGAGTCTGGCCCGGGTCGGCGGCAGCAGCGGCTCCGGTTCTGGCTCCGGTTCTGGCTCCGGTTCTGGCTCCGGTTCTGGCTCCGGTTCCCCGGCCCCGGCGCTCAGCCGCCCCGGCGCTCACTGGGGCTCCCGCTTGGCCGGCAGCACTTTTTAACTCCAGCATGCAGGCAGGCCAAGCCGAGGGGGCTCTCTATCTGATTGGTTTCCATTCGGTGCTCCTGATTAATAAAAAAAAAAAAAAAAAAAAAAAAAAAAAAAAAAGGGGGAGGGGGGAGGAAAAGATGGGGGGGAAGCCAAACTCCTCCCTCCCTGCTTGCCTCCCTGGCAGGCGCGCACACACACTCGCACACACCCCCCCCCACGCCCACCCCCCCACCCCCCGCACACCCCCACCCCACGCACACCCCCACCCCACACGCACTCCCGGCGCTGCGGATGCCGGAGCTGGCGGACCTGCCGCACTGGGGACGGAGGGGGGGGGGGGGGGGGACGGAGCGGGGCGGGGGGGTGGGGAGGCGCGGAGCGGGCGCGGAGCGGGCGCGGAGCGGGTTCCTCCGGGCGGGCAGCGATTTGCAAGTGAATGCGGTGGGAGGGCAGAGGGGGAGGGCTGTGCTGCTGTGGTAGGGAACCCCCCCTTCCCCCCCCCCCCCCCCCCCCCCCCCCCCGAAGAGCCGCTGTGTGCTTGAGGTAGCAGCCAGCTTCTTCCTAATCGTTCGGCAGTGATAGTACAAGCAGAATAAAATCGGGAGAGGGGGAGGTAAAGAGGAGGGAGAGGCACGCTCCTCTGTTGGGAGCTGCGTTTGTGCTGTGCGGCTTCTCGTCCCCGGAGCCGTTTTCAAGTCCTTCCCTTGACACCAGCGATGCCCGCCTGGTCTTTTCCCACACTTCCCGGGAACTTCCTAGACTTGATGAATCAAGAATTTCGGTGAATTATTAATGGCGATGACACTTTTGGGGGGTGATCACATGTGGCGGTTTCTCTGTGAATGGGAAGCAGCGGAGGAGGATTTTCCAGGTGCCTGCCTTTGCTCAGCCCCCCTCTCCCCAGAGGGCTCCCCACTCGCCAGGTTATGACTAATCTTAATTCACAACGAACTGAAATCACGACTTTTGCTGTGGGGCTCGTGGAGCCCCACTTCACACATGCATATTGTGCATGCACCTTCTCTTCCCCCCCCCCCCCCCCCCCCCCCCCCAAAGTCTAGCCTGAAATAAGGCTTTAGGTGTTTAAATCTTAAATATTAAATGACAAGATGGAAATTGCCTGCCAATTTATTATTTATCTGACGAGTCCACTCCAATTCAGCTGCACCGTGTCTCCTTAAGATTCGTGACAAATGTTGCGAGAAGTGAAGCTTTCTGCCATTAGCCTCTCACATCTCCACATCTTAGGTTTGACCTTTATGATGTATTTTTTTTCCCCTGCTAGTCAATCTTAAGTAATTTTTTTTCTTCCTCTCTTCCTTCCCTTCCTCCTACCCACCCCTCACAATTTCAGCCTGCTGTGTGTCTTAAGGATGGGTCTGTGCTGGCTCGAAGCCACCTTTGTGTCCTCCTGCTTCTGGACCATTTCAAGGCTTTTAGTATAATTTAAATACTCTGAGCACCAGAAGTTCAGGTAACCATCTTGCTGCTTGTGCTGTAATTGCTACAGTGCTGCAGCACCGTCTCAGCAATGCTGTTATCCCTGAAACTGGTACTGGGCTCCTTAGGGAAGCCTTCAAGCTATTCCCTACAGTCACTGTGTTGGCAGAGTCCTTCTTCAGCACAGCACTGGGCTTTTAGGGACTCTCTATGATACCTACAAAAGCCAGAGCAGTGAAAAGAGGCTGGATTCTGCTTTCCACATGTTTGTGAACTTAAGCAAATCACCCAGAAAAGCAGTGGCTTTTCAGTACCACTGCCATTATCTAGTGATTTTCTTGTCTTTCCACACAGCTGAGTTTTTCCAGCCTGCAGATCATTCTGATTGTTCTTCTTTGAACTTCCTCTAGTTCCCTCATTATTTTTTTTTTTTTTTTTTGGCAATGACAGGTCAGGAGCTCAGTGAGTATTTGCAGAGTATTCCCATGAGAGCCTTCTGGACACATTCTATCTCTCCTTTATGACAGACCACATTTGCCGGCTTTCTTTTCCCCTGCCATATTGCATTGTGAATGTCTGATTCACTGCCCACTCTGACCCTGAGGTCTCCTTGGGCATTATTCATTCCTGGATGTGTCTCATTCTGGTTAGCTTTAATAAGGCTGCTGCTTTTTTTTTTTTTTTTTTTTTTTTTCATGATTTCCTCAGACAGGGTTATCTATGTCCAAGATGGACTTCTGTATTTTTGTTAAAAAGGAAGAGTTAGTACAGGAACTGTTGTGTTCTCTGGAGCATGTGCATGAGATTTTAATCTTCTCATTAATCATATGAATTTGTGGTTGACAATTTTGAGTCCATAACTGTATGAAGAAAACTTTTCTCATTTTTGAAGGACATTATCAAGATGGTGCTCTTCCTCCTCAACCCTCTTCTATTGACAGCTATAATGATATTAGAATTCCCAGACTGGATCAGGTCATTAGCCCATGAAGTGTCTTGTACCTGACACTTTAGCTGAGTGAAAGGCTCAGCTAGGACTGTGAAAATTGATCAGGATCAGCATTGGTTGAAATCAACTTCCCTGTCATGAGGTGGAGAATTTAAGAAAATTAAAAGGACTGAATGTTTATGAGTCTAGCTGAGACTGGAAAGGAGATAAAACTCTTTTTTTTTTTTTTTTTTTCCTTCAGCTCTCGAACCAATCTAATATTTGGAAATCGGGCTGAGTACTTAATGTAAAACATACGGTCTAATTGTCTGTGGCTCTTCTCTGAAGAAAGTATTCCTGCCCATGGACAACCACAGCACTGAATTAGCCAGAACAAAGATCCAAAGTGGCAACTTCTGCTTTTGCAGTCTCTGTGGAATGCCCAAACCCTGCATACTGTGACTGAAATGTCCATGAATCTCAGCCACCAACACAAAACCAAAATATAGCGGGAGCTTAAGAGTATGTGATGGTTTTCATTAAGACATGCAGGAGAAATCCCGTTTCCAAACAATGGAAGATATATATGTGGGATTTAAGGACTAAGAAGAAAAAATCCTGAAGCTGGTGAAAAGCCACCTATGGTTCACTACAAGCTGCAGTATCTATGAAACAATCTGAAGATCTCACTTTGTAACTCCTCACATGAATCAGGCACTTCAGAGTTTTCCCAGCCCTGCTTATTTTCAAAAAATGTGGAGGGACCTTATTCTGAATTTATAAAAGAGAAGCCACAATCTAAGAGAATTTATCTTCATTCTTTTCTATGTGTTTGTTTTGTTTTGTTTTATGGGAGGGGGAGCATGAGGAGACAGAAAATGTTCCAAAAAAGGGTATGACTATAGTTTCACATCATTGAGGCAGAAGGGAAAAAATTTACATTGAACCTGGTAGGAAATCAGATGATGCCAAAATTTTTCAGGTAGAATAAATTATTAACTTGATGTCACTTCATTACAGATGCTATGCATGGTCACTATTTAGATCTTTAAAAATCCACAGTTTAACACTTCTGACCTTCTGTGATAATGAATTCCACAGGTGAACCGCTACAGCATAAATGTGTCTTTGTTTCTTTGTTTGCATTATATTTATAGCGTTTTAATTTCAGTGTCAGTTTTATATTAAGTGTCAAGAAAATAATGAGCTTCTGGATAATTTTAAGCATATTTTTAATTTATTCTTGCTAATAGAATTTTTTATTATTATTATTTTTGCTTTCCCAAGCTTGAATGCCATGTCTTCTAAGCCTCTAAACCCAGTCCTTTAGATCTATGTGCAGTGATCAAGGATTTGCCAGACAATTGCAAGGGGCTGAGGTAACATGTCACAATTTACCACTCCTCAAGCAAGACATACTTCTCATAGCACTGAAACTAACCCCTTGTGTTTTCCTAGTCCTAATCTGTTGCAAAAACAAAAGAAACAGATTAGCTCCAAACCCTTTGCAGTCTTCTCCTGTCCATACCCCTGGTCTGCTGGACCACTGGAGGAGTGATGTTTTGCCATAAGGATCCCAGTGATTGCATGCAGCTCTGCACTGAGTATTTGTTCCTCTTCTCTGAACAGTTTTGTTCTTTGTTGATGTCCTTCTTCCAACTGGGCCCCCAAAACTGTAGAAAGAGGTTATTCCAGCATATATAAATGACTTATTCTAATTTGAGTTTAAGTGTTTTAGCTCCTTCTGGAAGCGATGAATAAAAGCAGGTGATGGCTTGATTGATTGCTTCATAAACCATGAGGAACTACTCCTTTTCTGCCTATTCCATAGATATTTTAAGGTGAAAGAGATTCCCACTGCAAGGTACAAAAGAACAAAGAAGTAAAATTTGCATCAGAGCTTGCTGATTTTGTGAAAACAGTATGAAACGTGCCTGGTTTTTCTTAGCTTGCTATCTGAACCTCAGCTGCCTGCCAAGTAGGGAACCTGGAACTGCAAATTCTTGCACTTTTATGGCTTCTTGAGTGTCTGTCTTTGCTCATTTCAGTGGTGAAAGTCAGAAAATTAAGGTAATTATAAAATACTAATAACATTTTTTGTTTATCCTTGAAATAGTTGTATTTCTTCATTAACAGTGTAGCTGCTTAACTGGAACTTCTTAAAAAACTGGAACTTCTGTCTTCTTGTCCTGGTTGAAGATGAGAATTTGTTTTAAGAAGTGTTCTGGAACTTACATTTTACAATCAACTACTATGCTAGCTATTCCTCTGCTGCTCTGTGTCCATCTGAACTATTCCAAATAGTACCATTTTTCTTTAAGAAATAGCTATTTCTTCTGAACTGAATAATCATGGCCCTCTCCCCAGTTTTTCCTCTGGTGTCTAGTCCATGTCTTTTTTGCCTAGGGATGGCAAAAATAATCTCATTTTGAGTTATACTGAAATAGATATTTTCAAATCTGTCATACACATCTGAATTTCTTACCTCTCCTAATTCCAGTGGTATTAAAATATCACAAGAACAGCTGTTGTTATGTTGCTTCTGGAGTCAGTAATTACAGAATTGTGTTGTTAAAGTAGCAAACTAAAGGGTGGCAGATAAGTCTCACATGCATCTAGTTTAGGTATGTTCACCTGAACAGAAGCTTTGCATTTCAGGGTTCACCCCTCACTCATTGTAAACTACAAGGAAACTCTGCTGTTAAGAATAACAGTAAGGGAGACCTTCACCTCTGCGTTACCAGTATGTCTGATTGATCACTCCTGACAGAAGCATAAA